CCCATTGCTTCTTGTCCTGCCCTCAGGTGCCTTGGAGAATAGTTTGACTCCCTCTTCTCTGTGGCAACCCCTGCCCTTCAAGTTCATTTTTAAAAATTTAAAGTTAAGAGGCTGCCTCTCAAATGGTGAAAAGGTGACTTTTAGTCAAATCGTAAAAAATGGTGAAAAAGAGCATGCAGGATCCACTCCTGTCTCAGCTAACCATTCAAAGGATCCAGTTGAAAAATTCTCCCTACCTGTTTGTAGAGGAAAGATCGGCTTACGAACTCCAGTTCCCAAAACCTCAGGTTGCTGGCGGGGAAAAAAACAACCGTCAAAAAGGCAGCGTTAAAATCCACATAGATTGCGACAGATCAGCGAAGGGAAGGGGATAAGAAATGATATTAAACTATATTTGGTATTTGCAGAAATACCACCCCAAGAAAACATAAATTGAGATTTGAAAGAGACACCTATAATAACAGAAAAAGAAAGGAGAGAGGAGGAGGGGCCGAGAGGAAGAGGAGGGAAGAGAGGAAGGGTGGAAGGGGAGAGGGTGGGAAGGGGAAGAGGGGAGTAGGGGAGAGGTAAGGGGAGAAGGAAGGGGAAGGAGAGGGGGAAGGAAGGAAGGAGAGAAGGGAGGGAGAAAAGAAAGGGAAAATAAGAAACAGGCAACCCAAAATGCATATTATAACCCTCTGTTTATGGAAAAACAAATGTATAAGAATGACAAATGTAAAGAAGAAGAACTATGTGAATGTAGACCTATAATTGTATGTAAGAAAATAAAAACTTTTTAAAAAAACTTTAAAAAAAATTAAAATCTATATAGAGAGAAAACTATATATAGAGAATTTTTTTAATTAAATTGCCAATGCTACCTTATTATTATTATTATTATTTATTAATTAAATTTCCATGCCTCCCTTCTCCTCTACAAGGTGACTCATTTTCTGTCCTTCCCTGGGTCAGTTCAAATGTCTGCTTGAGAATAGATCCTCCATGGACAGAAGCAAACTACCTCTGACCGAGGCTTCCCAAGAGCATGAAGCAAACTCCTGGTCCCGGCAAAAAAAACCTTTTATTCATTGACTGTGAATTCTGCTCTTTGACATCCAGCAAAGTCTTTCAAAGGAGGATTTACAGTCACAGACCTTATCTGGCTTGGAGAGCTGCCAGGCCGATATCCGCAAAACTTGGCCAGGAGTCACGGAGAGTCATGAGCCAATGAAGCGAACTAATTGTCTTGTGCAAACTCCACCCCCATTTCGCTCCTCTTTTATTTCCTTCAGAAGAAGCCATTCACTGTCCACTTGTGGTCTTACTGCCAAGTCGACCCCTGTTCTTTAGCTGTTCCCTTCATCTGGCAACTCTGTGCATCCACACACCGG